CTCATTTTTAATATTTTTTGAAATTCATTTTTTATCACCTCCACTGAGGCTATACATTAGTCTACGAGCAAATAAATTAACGCTTCGCTTACTACAACACTTTCCTGGTTTGCCTCCCTACTTTCAGCTTGTTTTCCTTATGAACTTACCTGCATATTATTGTTCAAATGTCATGCCATTGGAGAAAATAAAGAAAAGGTTCATGAAAGAGGATAACAAGATGTGTCATGAAGCTTGCATAGATTTTTGATGGATGGCAATTGTTAGGGAGGTTCAGATGAAAGCATAAAGACACGGAGGGGGAAATACAGGAAAAGACATGCTCAGGTTTCCACAGTGTGTACCCAGACACTGTTGAAAAAGATCACTACAAAGAAAACATGACATGGCATGACTGGCTTAACAAAAGAAACCCTATACATGCAATAGATTAAATGGCAATACGATGCCAAAACTAGCCCAATAAGTGCTCTAGGAGTTGAGAACAGGGAAAGAACATCTCCCCATGGTCAGGCAACCAAAGGAGGTGGAGAGGGGCACAGCATTTTCAGGGACACTGTAAGGACCTCTCTGCTGTAAGTATGTAGTGGCTGAGACCAGACAGTGGGAAATTTAGAATGTCCAAAGACATTTAAAATTTATTCCCTAGGTGATCTCTTCCCAAGTTTTAGTTTTCATAAGAATTAGAGAAAATTATAGAATACATCCCTAGTAAGATAAGTAACTATTTGTTGAATAAAATGTTATCATTAACCCATTTTTCAGTAGAGAAAAATCAAGCAGCACTGTAGGGAAAGAAACAGGAATAAGAGGAGATTCTTTTTCCACTAGATCTCTTTAAAAAGATTAAAAAACAACTCCTAAAAAATAAAATAAAATAATCTACACGCATATAACAATGATATATTTAACAGGTAAGTAATTCTGAAAGAATAATAGAAAAAAAAATTCCACAGAAGTGATCAAAATATATTCAAAAGCTAAATACTATGTCACTTTAACCTTAGGAAGTTTAGTTCCAACATCTCATTTATAATCTATTATTAAATCCCAAGATAAATCTCATAATTTTTAAGACTATAGAACTGGTTTTATATTTCTCTTATAACAACAGAAGATAAAGAAGATACAGGGGAAAAAAAAGGTACTCAAATAACAAACAACAGGATCAAAATGCCTACATTTTTCAGAGTGTAATAACAGTATAAAATTTTCCTTAAGGGAAGAAATTTTAAAGCATCCATTGAGCCTATAAGAAAGATATCTAGGTCAGGTTTGTCATTTATCTAACACTTTCAGACAATGAAACAACCACTGGGCGATTCTGCCCACAGCTGAGTAAGAATGGGGGTGAGTTAGATTTCTTAGGGGATAAGATATCAAGGTGGTTGTGACGATGCCATTTTCTGTGATACAGTAAAGAAGTCCTTGTGGAGACATGACTGGACAGCACTGAAGAAAGTGGAAGAAAACTAGGCAAACATTCAACTGCATACTACCTCCCGAATGCCAAAGCACACACTCCAGTGCACACTGAAACATTAAAAGACCCAACTGCTCTGTTAACATTGCAGCTAAAATTGTTCATACAGCCAAGATAGTAGGTATAACCACACATACACATCCCTTTTGCCAGAACGGTCACAAAAGAAACTGTCTCCTTTTAGGCAACTCTCGCCCCAGGGTTTTTGGATTTTGCCAAGATGAAGCCAATTATCTGGATAGTGAATAGATGAAATGCTGCAGGAAACAATAATGTGAATTTTTAAAATATGAGGTTAAGCTAATGATTTGTAATAACTCATTTTAATATGAACTTTTTATCTCAATTTCAAACTAAGCCTACATCACTTTTATTGCATCAATATCTAAAAATGTGATAGACCCTCAACTCTTCTGCAGATGAGTTTTTAAAGGACAGAGAGAGAAAAACAGTCCAGCTGGACAGTTAATAGGAATTCTCTCTCTCAAATGCAAAAAATACCATCATCAAGAGAGTCTCATGGCATGGAAATCTATCTCATTCCTGAAAAGTTTTCCTCCTCATTTCAATCAAACCAAAATATGGCACAGGTTCTGAAAAAAAATCCCAGCATTCAGATTCCATCAGATGCAAAGATTACATTGTACTAACCCTAGGCATAGAAATTGTCTCAATATTCAAATGTACAAGCAAACTAGAAATAGTAGCTAAAGCAAAAAACCAGCTTTTAAAAAATATTCATCCCACCATCTTACAAACCTCAAAGACATGTATTTAAACCCATTTGATGCTTTATCTGGATCATTGCAAAGTGCAAGCAAACAATAACAGTTCTCTAAATCTTCTATTATTCTCAGCATTATAGCATGCTGGGTTACGTTGCAGTATGTGTTACTTTCTAAAAGCATATACTCTTCTACCCTGCAGCACTGAAGAAGCTACATATATAGATGAAATGCTGCAGGAAACAATAATGTGAATTTTTAAAATATGAGGTTAAGCTAATGATTTGTAATAACTCATTTTAATATGAACTTTTTATCTCAATTTCAAACTAAGCCTACATCACTTTTATTGCATCAATATCTAAAAATGTGATAGACCCTCAACTCTTCTGCAGATGAGTTTTTAAAGGACAGAGAGAGAAAAACAGTCCAGCTGGACAGTTAATAGGAATTCTCTCTCTCAAATGCAAAAAATACCATCATCAAGAGAGTCTCATGGCATGGAAATCTATCTCATTCCTGAAAAGTTTTCCTCCTCATTTCAATCAAACCAAAATATGGCACAGGTTCTGAAAAAAAATCCCAGCATTCAGATTCCATCAGATGCAAAGATTACATTGTACTAACCCTAGGCATAGAAATTGTCTCAATATTCAAATGTACAAGCAAACTAGAAATAGTAGCTAAAGCAAAAAACCAGCTTTTAAAAAATATTCATCCCACCATCTTACAAACCTCAAAGACATGTATTTAAACCCATTTGATGCTTTATCTGGATCATTGCAAAGTGCAAGCAAACAATAACAGTTCTCTAAATCTTCTATTATTCTCAGCATTATAGCAGGCTGGGTTACGTTGCAGTATGTGTTACTTTCTAAAAGCATATACTCTTCTACCCTGCAGCACTGAAGAAGCTCCATATGAAAGGGAGTCTAAATCTCTATACAAGCAATAAATGTCAACAACTTATGCAGTGAAAATCTCTGAGTAATGATAAAATGTTATATTATAAGCTATAAATAAGAGAATGTGATTACGTCTTACAAGTAGTATGTTAAGAGAAGGATATAGTTAAGATGAAAATCATCTGATTTTAGGTAACTAAAAATATGGTATATTTATTACTTCCAACTTTTTATTAAATTTTCAAACACTAAGAAGTTAAAACAGTAGTACAATGAGGATCTATATATCCTCCATCTAGTTTTGACAGCTGATTACATCTTCAGAATTCGTTTTATCTAACTATGCATGTGCGTAAATAAAAGCATGCATTTGCAAATATATAGAGATAGTAACATTTGAAAAATGTTTGCAAATATAATGACACTAAACCCCTAAATATTTCAGCCTACACCTTCTAATAAAGACGTGCCTATATAACAATATGGCATGAAGACTTAATTGCCTAAAGAATAAATTTTCCCGCTTTTATAGAATACTCAAGATTTTTAATGAGCTTTAACTCCAAACACCCTTCTCAGCTTTATCTCCCACAAGTCTCCTTCACATACTCTACTCTCCAATCAGAGAAAACCCAGTTCTATCATACATGATCCACACATTCCCATCTGGCCATCTCACTGTTTTCTCTGTTACTATATCCAGTTCTCTCTCGTTTCTATACGTACAAACATTCCCCTTTCTTCAAGACCCATGACAAATGAAACCTCATGCACACCCCTCCTAGTCCTGGAGAAGGAAGCAACCCCTCCTTGCTTCACCATTTTCTACTTATAGTGTCCTTTGTTGCTTGGTGCTTTCTAGGATAAAGGCGATTCCTTATTCATTTTTACATTACTCATAGCAGTTCCTGGAATTTATAGAAGATATTTCATAATTAATTGTTAGATACATGTTTTTAAAAATCCTAATTTTATGTGTTAAGGAAAAAAATTATGAAAAGGGTGTGTTTTATCCTATTCAAATTATTTTCATGTTGAAAATCCACCTATTCTAGAAATCCAAACCACTTGCTTCGTTTACAGAAGTACACTCAGTCTGCATAAAGCAAGCTCTGAAAACTGTGAAATGTTCTTACCTTCTCATTATTGTAGTAAGAAATGCTAAGGCCATCAAATTTCACCCATCTCTTCTGAAACATGCGTTTTCTGTAAACATATGAAATTGTTATTTTACATTAAAGTACCATGAACTTGGATTTTAAATGCATTTGTAACGTAACCACATGTTGAGTACATTCCCAACTGCTACTAAACAGAGTAGACAACAACAGGCTATGACAGTGTACATAGAGAAAAAAAATATATGTATAATGATACTTTCCAGTCAGTTGACCTACGCATTTTTAAAAAATGATACTGTTAACAGTGCTGTCAAACACATTTGTAAGATTCAGTGTAAAACAAACTGTGTCCACAAACAGTCACTGAACCCACTTCCCTTAATGGAGATAATCCTTTAATGAAAGTAATATAAGCATTCATCCCTCAGTAAGCTTACTCATCTATTTTATTTTACCTTAATTTTTGCTTTGGGACATGAATAATATTTTGCTAAAATAGCAAAGCTTTCTCAATTAGATTTAAACAGATAAATTACTTAGTTTTGATTAAATAAGCTGAAAAAGCCCTCCGGATACAGAGAATCATGATCATTCAAAATTCAGTGAAACATTAATATTTTTTGAAAAAAGGATCATACGAGAGGCAAATGCAGTTTAAAATGGTTACTGACATAAAAAAAACAAAAGAAAAAAAGAATCCCATGTTTCCTATTCAGGCTTAAAAGAAAAGAAAGCTATTTTTCTGACTGTATAAGGAAGGAGTGAAGAACCACTTTTACTTGGGCTTGTTTTCTGTTTTATTTTACTCCCCTTCCCTGAAGTCAGACAATCCTACATGTTCTGAATATCCTGTTCTCTGTCTACCTGGCTCTCAGTTTGAACTGATACCATCTAGATTCTTTTAGACTTCAACACAGATAAGATATGGAAACTAACTTCCTGTTTAAAAAAAAAAAGTCACTAATAGGTAACCATCAACCATGTCTACTTATCCTGTTCTCTGTCTACCTGGCTCTCAGTTTGAACTGATACCATCTAGATTCTTTTAGACATCAACGCAGATAAGATATGGAAACTAACTTCCTGTTAAAAAAAAAAAAGTCACTAATAGGTAACCATCAACCATGTCTACCCTCTGCTTTTGCAAATTTCTAACACATGTAAGATAAGAAATAGGTATAATTTACTGTGGCTTAAGGAAGATGTAACAATAGAAAAAGAGCTTTAGGGAGGGTGGAAGGCTTGTCTTCTGGGCTGTTTCTCAAGCTACTCATCTACTCGTATTACTCAAGAGAAATACAGAAAGCCTCCCACATTAATCGTTAGCACCTGCATCCCGTTTAAGATAAAATTAGACCAAATCTGGTCATAGGGAGAAAATTTGCAAAGTTCATCAGTGCAGACGTTTTCATGTATAAGCATTAATTATGAAGTAATAAGAACACGTAAGGACCTTAAACGCATGTATCCACAACTGACAACCCAATCATCTTTCTCTCTTATTCCCTCATCTTTCTGCTTCTTTTTAACTTCTCTTGGCCTGACTATAAGGTGTTTTCTTCACACTGCAACATCCAACAGTATAACAGTCATCTGGTTTTTACTTCTTCCAGCAACCCCAGGGTACTGCAAATTCCTAGCATTAAAAGTTCAAAGGTAAAGACATATTAAACACACACACAATAATTATATATTGAATAAATTACTTTGCACTCACTTTATGTTTATCTCTGCCATATTTAAAGGGAGGCAAATACACACCTCCCCACACAATCCCAACAGTAATTCAGTAAAAACAAGATTTTGTATGGGGCCCCCACCCACCTTACACTGTGAATAGTGAAATCAGAGCTCAGTGGCACATATAATCTCCCATTTTAAAATAAAAGTAATCAACATCTGTAGGGAGAGAAAGGTCTTAGGGCCTTCCATTACCCCCTCTCGTCTGTTTGCTAACTCCTGTTTCAGAGTTCTACCTAAACCACCTACATAGAAAATCCTTCTCTGATGACCTAATCCAAAGCAGATCACACAGCTAGTTTCTCTCAAAGCACCCTCTACTTTTCCCCATAGCACTTAACACAATCTCAAATTTGTTTAGCATCAAATGAAAAAGGTTTAGAAACTATGTTAACATGTCTTAAGACTTTAAATACAGCCACTTGGACTCAGCTTTCTTAGAAGTCCATCAGCATCTGGACAGTTTGCAGTCTAGTCTGAAGCACCATCCAGGAGCTTATTATTCACGTCCACAGAAAAATGAAGAGGGGAAGGGAGAGGGCAGATAGCTCAGTATTTGTAAGGCTTATGGGTCAAAGTGGCCACCCTCTGACTCATACACCTCCCCTGAGGCACTGATACGACAAAGGACAAGTTCTGCCCTTGGCTCTCTGAGGAAAGCCAATGAAAACCTCAGCCTATGAGATCTTTGACTCCAAAGATATTCTCCCAACCTTTTTAATTTCCTCAATCACCAAGTAACTGCTCGATGTGTTCATCCACTTTAAATTCAGTATTTTTAAAGATTATGAAATCCCTCTATTAATCTATGGAGGGACAGTAAATAAGACAAATCTCAGCCCACAATGAAATGGAATGAGAAGACACACGGTGTAGCAGCTGAAAGAACCACCAATGTGTAGCTGGAGAGAGCTATTGTGCAATCCTGCCATCAAAACTTGACTTCTGCTGTTCATTCATCCAGCCAGTCATCAAAATCTCTAGGTACCTACTTTGTGGACACTATACTCTGACCATACTGCCTTCTTTCTCTAGACCCTTTCTTGCCACATGGCCTTTCCATATTCCATTTTTTCTGCTTGGAATGGTCACTGCCTGCTCCTAACACAGCTCCTTCTCATCCTTGAGATTTCAGCTTAAAAGTCATGCCTTCCAAGTGGCCATCCATGAATACTACATAGATCCTTCAGGCACCCTTGTTCTCTTGCTCCATTTCTCTACTCAGTGACACTTAGCAGAATTTGTAATTATGTATTTGGTTGGCTTTGACCATCCCCACACTAGATTTTGAGATCCTTGAGTGCAAAAACCATTTGCTTTGTTTATTAATATAAAACTAGTAACTACCACACTTCCTAACATAAGATATGCATAATAAATATTTAGTAAATGAACACATTTTTCACTGAAAAATGCTTACTCAAATTTGCATCTCATAAATATGGAAAATCAATAGTACTAAAACACCTTCTCAATTCCATTTTTTGCTTTTTTCAAATACTAACAATTACACTTTTTGACAAAAACTTTGTAAATCTACCTTGTTATTAAAGAAAAAAATAAGAGCCCAGTTGAAAACCTCACCAATAGTTTCCAAGTAATTTAAAATTACACTTTAGAGTTAAAAAAAAATTTAACCAACATCTCCACATTATCCCCCCACCTGGTAAACCACCATTCTAGTCTCTGTTCCCATGAGTTAGACTTTTTTAGATCTACATATAAGTGACGTTGGCCAAAGGGTACAAACTTTCAGTTATAAGAAGTTTTAGAGATCTAATGTACAGCATGGTGACTATAGGTGATAATAATGTATTGTGTACTTCAAATTTGCTGAGAGTAGATTTAAAAGTTCGCAGCAGACATATACACAAAATACAAGTAACTCTGTGAAGTGATGGACAGGTTAAATAGCTTATTTGTGGTAATCATTTCACAGTGTATATGCATAACAAATCATCACGTTGTTTACTTTAAATATATATAATCTTTATTTCTTAATAATTCCTCAATAAAGCCAAAAAAAATTTTAATTCTTTAAAATGTATGCATTTGATACTTTCGTATTTAAAATGCAAAATATGTTAATATGTTAATGTGTTTCTAAAACAAGTTAATATGTTTCTAAAATTAAATTTATTTATACAAAGGTTGAATAATTTATTTTGCTCATTAAATGTGTCAACATTCAATTAGCTGTCTTCTGCATGTGAACTTCAATAGTAAATCTACTACATAATTGGTTAATTAAAGATAAGAACTTAAACTTACATCCTCTCTCATAGTATCTATCATTCCTCTTTCTAGCAAATGGAAACTTGGATTTAATAATGATAAAACTTACAAATTAATCAAAATTTCAACTAAATAATAAAAAAGAGCTTGAAAAAGTCTGTGCTTGTAAATGCCAATATAAAATTTTAAATTAATAAATATTAGTAAATACTTCATTTTTAAGAATTATTTTTTCTATGTAAGAGTTAAATATTTCTCTCCTGTATTTATAAAAGTCTATTTTATACCAGGCAACTAATTCCACTAGAATTATGTACAATTAATATACACACTATTAGAGGTTGCTAAACTACTTTAAAAGTTTTCTCTGATGTAAGTTATGCCTTTCCCTTCAATTTCATTTACTAGCTTAATTTATTTCACAAACGTTAAAAAAAAAAAGACAATATATAAGACAATGCCACCTTAGCTTGTGTTCCTGTTATTATAAAATATGAATTAGATCTGAAATAATGGTACATTATTCCACAGAGAAGAGACTTTAAAGCTTCAGTCAATAAAGAACTTATTTGGGACTGTATATGGTAATAAAAATAGCAAACACTTATACAGTGCTTTGTTCTAGGCACCATGCCAAGCCACATACAAATATTAACTCATTTAATCCTCCAAACAATCATATGAGACAAGTTCTATCTCCATTTTACAGATGAAGGCACAGACGCACTGACTGGATAAATAATTTGCCCAAGTCACATAACTAGTAAAGAGCCTACCTGGAAGTCAAACCGAGGCAGTCCCTTCCCAAAGACTGTGTTCTTAACCCCTACACAAAACAGGCTCTAGTACATTTTATAGCAAGCATCCTGGACATCCCTTTAGGTGGTAGTAACAATTGATCTCTACACATTTTATTCATAAGTTCAATTTTGCAAAGTGCTTCAGAATTCCTTCAGGAAAAAAGCTAAAGTAGACATGAAACACATTAGCCTGGGTTTTACCTTATTTTGTTTTTACGGTTCTGAAGGGAAACATTTCTTTAAGAAGATTTCTTAGAATAATTTATAAGGCTTGTACAGTATTATTGAATGGATTTCTATAAACTCTTCC